GGAATTGATCTTCTTTGAATGATTTTGTTTCTCCCTGAATATAGGAATACCATGCACCTACCCACATGCTGCCTGGGCCAAGACAGTGGGAATATAAACCTGTGATGGACCATTTTTAGGCACCAGACTACTTACTCTCTGAGTGAGTACTTTTCAGGGAGCTTTGAAGTTTGTAAGATCTGTTCAATAAGGCTGCTATATGCTGCCCATGGATTTGTAGTTCCATTTATTTCAGAGGCAATTATTTGGCAACTGTTAAGACCTAACTTTATACACTATACACAAAGAGAAATGTATTAATATGGTTCACAGCAAGAAATATGGGATCAGCCACCTTGAAGTTAGCCAAAGACATTTTATCTGCAAGACCCTGTCAACAAGACAAACTCACATGTTCAAATCCTAGTCAGCTAGTCTCTACCACTCCTTATCTCTACTCTTAGATAACAAAACATAAAGTGAAATAAAACAAAAATCAAAGCAAAATAATTCTATTTTAATTATGTATTTTTATGGAAGTTTAAGCAGAAAACATTGAGTTGGGTGTGTATATGTTTCGCGTGTGTATATGTGTTTTAATTTCAGAAACGAGCTGGTTTATACTTCTATTCACATTCCAACAGATATATATACAAGCTGCCACAAAATGTATTGCATTTTTTCCAGCCAGTGGGTGTGAAATGTAGAACAAAATGATATTCATGTTATATACTTATACCCATATGTACTGTGTATTCATTTGTTCATTCATTGATACATACACTAATTTATTCATTGACTTAAAAATAGAAAACTCATTTGGTTCCAGGTACTATACTAGGCACTGGGGATGTAAATTGAAGCTATAGCATTCCTGTCTTCAAGCAGACCACAACCTAGTGCTACTAAAAATACCCATAAAATCCTTATTAATTCCTGTAGATAAAAAATACAATAGGGGTACCTGGGTGGCTCAGTTGGTTAAGCATCCAACTTCAGCTTAGATCATGATCTCACAGTTTGTGAGTTCAAGACCTGTGTCAGCTCTGTGCTTACAGCTCAGAGCCTGGAGCCTGCTTTGGATTCCATGTCTCCCTCTCTCTCTCTGCCCCTCCCCTGCTCATGCTTTGTCTATCTCTCTCAAACATAAGTAAATATTTATTTTTTTTAAATACAGTAAAATTTTACTTTGAGGACTATAATTGCTTCAAATAATGTCTCTTTCATTGGTGGAGCCATGACTTAGCTTGAAGGGAGTTGACTATTTCTGCCCATAGAAACAGAAGTGTCCCAGGATAACTATTGACCATTTCTTAATTACTAGCTCTGCCCCTGTCTCAGGCACCAAAGACTTATTAAGTCTTTCAGCTAAATAAAAGGATAGGAGGCCGGTTTAATGACTATTACTCTCATGGAAATGTGTTCCTATGGACTTTATGTAAATTAGGAAATGATGCCCTTTCAGGGTGATACAGACTGATGATGAGTCAGTACACTATACTAGCCCATGGATGTGAGTTGCTTCTTCATGACCTTATAACACTTGCGCTCAAGGCCATTTGTTTGACTCATTTTTTTGTGTCTCCCTCTTATGTCAAATACTGTGTTAGTTTACATGGTGGAAAGCACGATGAAGAATCCCAAACTTATCAATAATATACTTAAGAAAGAGAAACAAAGAATAATCGAAGTTCAGTGTTAGGAAATCTTAACTTTACATTTGCCCTCTCTTTTCATGAGTTAGACCCCCAGTATAATCATCCTAGGTCTCAAGTGATCTTAAAGTATGAATGGTTCTGGGCAGGGCTAATAACTTTTACCTGTGCTCCCAGGGACAGTCAAAAGCATACAACCCAGTGACAGCTAAACTTAATCCTTTTTATATTGACTTGCTTTTGAATGCATTTTTAAGGAATATGATCTCACCAGAAGGGTAGATCCTTTGAATATTTCAGGCAACCGTTCCCTCGCCATGTTCAAAATGCATTTCTAATTTTGAACATGGTGGAACATTTGTTATTTGATTTAATATAGGCAGTTTACTCAATTGACAACTTCATTGGAAATCCTGTAATAATTTCTGAAACTAGGTCACCAAATTACTTACTTAAGAGCTCTCTATGGTAGCCAATAAGGGATAGCATTATGAACCAGATCTGACAGCACTGAAGAAGTGTCCCCCTCAGGTCCAACCACTGCAGGCAGAGGATGGGAAGAGGGGGTAAAATCATATACAGGGCTATCTCTTCAGAATTGTAGGGAAGTAATTGACTCAGCAAGAGATACGATACTATTAAACTTCATAGCTTCATTATAAGCTGTCAGGTATAGAAAAATATCATGGTATATATTGATTATAAAAGGAATCATAATGTATTACCAAACATAATGACAAGAAACAAAATATGCAACTGTAGCATTTTATTTTTGACTATGATAAATTCTAAGTCATGAGGTGTTACAAAGTTTAAGCAGTTAAATAGTTAATGTATTGACCTTTTAAAAGAGATTTTTGAAGACAGTTTGACTATCCCACTAAAGCAGGGTCAACAACAACAACAAAAATGTGGATCACCACTTGCCTTTCTTGTGTCTATGGCAGATATCTCTCATAGAGCTATTTTCCATTTTTCAGTGACCCTGAACTTGGCCTCACAATGCTTCCCCAGGCAGCCACTCATTGCCAGTTAATTGGGGTTAACACTTAACATTGAAAACTATTCATCATTCCACTGGTTAACTGACTTCCTGAGAGCAGGCACTTTGTCCTACTAATCTCCATATGCCAATGCCAGCATATAACCTGCAAAAAGTGACACTCAGTACATAGTTGTGAATGGGTAAGCATCCCAGGAATCATAAAAATTTTCACTAGCGGGTAATTCTCCAAAAAATATGTAAGTGACCGAAATTACAAGCAAAAATAAATTTAACATCACTTGTAATTTTTAAAAAATGCACAGTAAATTTTTGGCTAGATTGGCAAATATTTCTTAAAAAGTAATATTTAGTCCTGGTGATAGAGAAAATAAGTACTCAGATATATGACTGGTAAGAATGTAGCTTGTTATATATAGCTTTTCTGGAGGGAAAATAGTTTATCAAAAATCATAAAAATAGCAGTACTTTCACCTAGAAATTCTGCCTGTAGAAATATCTTTCTTGAAAACATACATTTGTGCAATGATTTAGCTATAAGAAAGTTTGTTGAAGTATATATAAAAAGTTAAAAATTTTGTAAATAACAGTCAAGGATTGGTTAAAAAAATTTGGTGGTATTTCTATATTTTATTATATTGTTTATAGCATTCACATACATACAGTGTACAGCTATTAATGTTATATGAAAGTGTACTTATCAACATAGACCAATATTTAGTATGTAATATTATGTAAAAAAAAGAAAAATTGCAAAATTTATGGTAAGTGGTCTTATTTTGTAAGTATAAGTGTATATATGCCTAAGCCCTAATAAGAGTTTAGAAATATTAATATTTACTACCTTTGACAGATAGGACAATAGGATTTTTGCTATTTTGACTGTGTCTTATTTTTCTCTAGTGATCATGAATTATTTAGATATTTTTGAAAAAGTAATTTTTAATACTTAAAAATTGATTTCTGGAATTGTTCATATTTTTTCTTAATATGTTCCCCTATAGTAAGCGGAACATTCAAAATCATCCCATTGATCATACTTTTAAAAAATAGCAATTTAAGCATCTAAACATCCGAAGCCCTCCCTAAGGGCTTCAGTGGGAGCTTTTCAAGAGTCAGTCTTAAATCTGGCCTTTTATTGACATATTCTTTATTCTTTTTTTTTTTCTCTCATTTCTCCTCCCTCCCTAAATTCTTCTCTCTATTCATTAAAGCACTGATGGGAAAAACATGACTCAACATGTGAGCCAAATGTTCTTTGCTTAGGGAATCAGGGTTATTTTTTTTCTGATTGATAATAAAGTATATTTAATATATGTATTAATTAAAATAACATACTTGTTCATTACTCAAAAATAGGAAAGTACAAAGTATTTTTAAAGGAGTTGAAAAAATGCCATGAATGTGATATATTTATATAAGTATCTTTATTCTTCTACATATAAGTTCTTTTATGTAAAAACCATATTATAAGTATAATTATGCCTTATTTTTCCAATAGAATGCCCTAAGTATTTTCTTAGAGTTCTCTTTTTTTTTAAGAGTAGCTGCTGTGCCAAACCAGCATCTTTCTCATTTGTTCTTTCATTTAACAATACTCTTGAAAACCTACTATGTGTCCCCTAAGTGCAAGTGTACATTGGAAGAGCAGATAAGCATGATTTTGTCCTCACAGAGGGCTCCAGCCAGGCTCACAAGCTGCTGCTTTGCTTAGTCTACTGTAAAAATAAACAAATAAGCAGCAACCAAGAAGTAAAGTACAAGTGTTAACTAGAGTCACACAATGAATTCCAGCTGCCTGTACCTAATGTGATTTCTAGCCATAGTCTCCATTGTTTCCTTCCCCAGTGTCCCCTAAGTACTTTTCCTTCTCATGGGAAACAAATGGATTAGCTAATTACGATTATTGTTTTTCACAACAGGTAAATCACACTAAGATATACAAGCTCTTTACCCAAAAAAATTAATTTACCAAATTTAAAGAAAAAGAACACGAAATGTCAAGTTCATCCTCCCCATCACACTTATTTATGGTGGACTTACTGAAGAACAGAGAAGAATCTGCATTAGATGTGTATCAAATGAAGTAGTTAGGAATTGTTTATCCTATCCACTCAGGCACCCCATTCAGGAGTTGTCTTCAAAATCTTTAATGACAGAGACAGAGCAGAAACTTACCCTTCAGAGACAGGTCCCTTGGTTCCTTGTATCCCTCAGTTGCTATATCTGGGAGATCTGGTTGGCATATTTATGGCAGAGATCACAGTGACTAGTAAAGTGAGGGCCTTCAGGAAGGTTCAGGACAGTAACTATTTGCATATGATAATATTTTTAATAGTTTTTTTTTTTTTCTCCTCTCTTAGCTTTCCTTATTGGAAAAGGCTGGATTTGGTGGTGTCCTTCTATATATTGATCCTTGTGATTTACCAAAGACTGCAGATCTTAACTATGATACGTTCATGGTTTCACTGAACCCAGGAGGAGACCCTTCTACACCTGGTTATCCAAGTGTGGGTAAGTGTATTGTTAATCTTTATTATTCTTTTCAGTTTTACAGGTTGTAATTTATGACTACATACCACCTAAATTAATCAAGGGATGGCAGAATTGGAAAATTTTTACCACCCATATTTAAAAAATTGTTTTTTATCCACTCAAATTATAGGTTGCCCTTTGTTGGAATAAAACTTTTTTTTAGATGTCTGTAATAGATATCTGGATAAATTGCAGTATTGTGAACAAAGAGAAAACATATTTTATGTTATTATTGATTGACTTAAAGACAAGTTAATACTCTGGGACAGGCACTTCATATGAGTGGGAAACATATGCAAAAACCTAGAAAGATAAAAATACCTGCTGCTTTAGGATGTGTGTAATTACTTTCAGTACTGAGTCTAGGATTACACAGGGTCTTGAGTAGTTGTATGTATGTAGGAAATGATGTTGTAGAAGAATGGCATTAGTATGAACGACTTGTCTGACACCCGAAAGGAAGGGATCTTCTTGGTGTGGCCAGTCACTGGCGGCATAGAGATGGCCATCTTGGCATCAAATATTCTCTTTCTCGATAAGTTGTGTTCCTGTTATCGGGGAGGTCATGCAGCAGAGAAAAGACACCTGTGATTTTGGCAGGTTCTCCATGCATCATTGATTTCTGTCCAATGTATCATTAACAAGTAGTCTGTTAATGCAGACTTGGCCGAAGAAGAAGCTCTGTGAACCTTCTTTCAGGGTGACAATAATCCATTAACCATGACACTACAGTCAGTAATTAAACTAACAAAAACTTCATGTAATTATTCATGTATTCAGCCAAAGTTTCTCCTTGTTTTCCAGAAAACATTACAAAAAATTTCTAATTATCTTATTCAAGTCTAGTTATCCTCTCTCTATGTATATTAACTTCACTGCTTAGTCAATAACTCTCCAAAAGAGGAGTATAGTGAATCAAATATGAGTTATAATTTATAAATTGTGTTAGGTCTACTGATGACTGCTTTGTCCTCTCACGTACACTTTACATAATCTATTTAAGAATTTTCCTTGAGACCTTATTGATCTGTGTTTTTACAATCTATTGTTGCCTTGTTAGAATTGAAATTAAAATTAGGAAGCATCCATCTACAATTTCTAGGCATCACCAAAAATGTCATTCCACGTCTCTCATTTGCAAATGCTCTGACTTTCCAGGGCTGTAACACCTCAGCTTCAGGTGTGGCAGCTAACCCTTGGGGATGAATCAGTGGGCTATCAGAAAGCTATTTTATGAATACTCCATTTAAATTGATAAATGGCTCAATTACGCACATTTACTCTTAACATTGTTTTGGCTCTAGTCATTTCGTAAATTAGAATTCAGCATTAGCTAGCAACATGTTGGCCAGAGTCTCAAGCCATCTCAGAACGCTTTTTTTTCTCCTGTCTTTTCTCTTCTTTTCTTTGAAATAATTTCAACTCACACACACACAAAATTAGAGTATTCAGAAAATCTGTGTAACTTAATGCCAGCCTTCTCTCATATTAACATCTTACATAATATTAGGCAGTTACCAAAGCCATAAACTTAACATTGATACAGTGCTGTTAACTAATTATAGACTTTATTCAGATTTTTCCAATTCTCTCTCTCTCTCTCTCTCTCTTTCTCTCTCTCTTTCTCTTTTTTTTTTTTTTTTTTTTTTTCTGATCCAGTAACCAGTCTGGAATTCCATGCTGCATTTAGTTACCTTGTCTGCTTACTCCTCTCCCGATCTGAAATAATCCCTTAGTCTCTCTTTTATTACCTTGACCGTTTGAAGAATACGGACAGTTTATTTTGTAGAATCTCTCAACTGAGTTTGTCCAATATTTTCTAGTGATTAGATTGTGATTATAAATTTTTGGTAGGAATATTGCAGAAGAGATTGTGTGCCCTTCTCAGTGCATTATGTGAAGTGATACATATTGTGGATATGCATCATTTCTCATACTATTAACTTTTATCTCTTGGTTATGGTAGTGTCTGGCAGTTCACTGTATTGGTATTATTTTTCCCCTTTGTAATTCTTGAATATCTTCTGGGAAGATACTATGAAGATACCTAAATATTCTCTTTTTTATCATACTTTTCCTCACATATAACAGTATTCATCAATGATTCTTTTGTTACAATTATTTCTGTGGTATTTGCCAAAACATGGTTTTCTACTTCCATTATTCCTTTAGAATCCTTCTTAAAGAAACATTTTTATAATATGAGTACTCACACTTGCTGCCTACATTCTTAAACAAAGATGAAATGACTAACCATTTTGGGCAAAATTATAAGTCAGAATTTTTAGGCCTAATAACAAAATACAAATGCAATAAATACTATCACTATATTCCTAATGTACTTATAAAGGACTCACATGAAGAATTCCATTACAAATATCATGCCAGTGTATGTGTGTGGCAGTGGGAGGGTCTCTTTTTTTTCTTTTTCATATTAATCTCTATAAAATATACAGAAAAGGAAAAGATTCAACTCATTGTATTTCTCTCTTTTCTCTGGTTGCTAAGAAGCTCTCATGAACTATAGTGACTTATACCACTGGCTTCTGATTCATTTATCCCTTCCTCCTGCAATTGTTTTAAGATCTCTGTGCCTGGGATTTTAGTCACATTTTTAAAAAATATAATGCAACCCTCCCCACAAAATTGGGAGAGGCAGGTTCGGAGAGAAAGAAGAGGAGAAGACAGGTTGTGAATTGTAAATAAAAACTACAGATAAATATTTTTTCAAAGTGAATAACAGTATCTGACTTAATACCCTATAGTACAGTTAGGTAAATGATTATTAGAGTAAGTAATATAAACCACCTCTTTTCTGGTTTTAGCAACCTTATTTTATTAGCTAATCTAAGGCTAATTAAGTTCTAAAGAAAGGCATGGAAAAATAAAAACCCAAGTATGTGTTTTTGTTTTTTAATATACAAATAATAATAAACAGAATAGCATAATGAACTTTCCGTATGCCTCACCTGGCTTCCTCAACTATCTACATTCTACTTGTTTTGTGTTGTCTGTATACCCCTCGCATCCCTCACATCCCAGCACGAGCAGGTGAGGGGCAGAGAAAGAGGGGGACAGAATCTGAAGCAGGCTTCAGGCTTGAGTTGTCAGCACAGAGACGATGAGAGGCTCGAACTCACAAACCATTTGATAATGACCTAAGCTGAAGTCAGATGCCTAACCAACTGAGCCACAGAGGTGCCCCAAGTAGATGTTTTTTTAAACAAGAATGCCAAGGCACTCTTCCATGATACATGATCCAAATGAATTGTCCACATAAGACACAGGAACTTCCGGTAAGATAGTTTTGCTCACTAAGCCTCATTGTATATCCAAAAAAATCTTAATTATGATAGAATCAGAACAAAGATTAAAAAAGGTTTTAAATAACTTTTCCTCCAATAACACCGAAAAAAATGTCTCATTTTTTTTAACAAAAACAAGCCGTTAGCTTCGTTTGGCATTAACTATAGTTAATAGTGAATTAACATAGTTCCTTTACTATGAAGAAAATAAGGTATTAACTACACTGAGCTTTATCTTCTTCATGGTAAAAGGAACAATACTACTATAATAAATATATTGATATGTAGATAGAGACACAGATCTTATAAGATGGTTTGTAAGGAAATTCATTATCTCAAACTTTGCCCCTGATGTAAATAGGAATCCTGAAAGAGGGGCTCAGCCATCCGTGTTCTAACAAACGCTCCAGGTGATGCAAATGAATTTTGAGATCCACTGAGCTAGAGAACTTTATGCTTCATCTGCAAAATCATATTTGGGCCACTAGAACTATTGACCTAAACTTTGTGACCTCATATTAACTGTTATTTCAATAACTTATCTTGCTGCCTTTCATTTCCCTGCCTCTATGCCAATCAGGACTGAGGAATATGTGTGCACTGGATCCTGGACCCAATTTTTCTACTCCGTTAGCTCTCAGTAAACATTGGTTGAGTGAGTAACTTGTCCCCTTAACATGACTACTTATCTTTGATGATTCTGACCCTGTGCTGTACCCTGACTTTAATTAACCTAATTAAAACTTAAAAAAAAAGTGTTTGTAAGCATTGTACCTCTGACAGGTTTGTTTACAAAATACACAGTTTTTTTTTTTTTTTCTCCTTAAAGGCTTCAATCAGTTTTTTCACACCTATTGTACCACTCAAAACAGCAGAAATTCTGCTTAAGATATTCGGATACTTAAATTCTAATGTATTCTCTTAATTCCTTTGATAAATTATCACATATTTCAAAGATTAAATGTCCAGAATATCAGACTTTATCATAGCTGCTTTCATCAACTTGCTACAAGTATTTCAACTATAATAAACTATGGTCTAAGAAAACCTCATTTCTTAGAACCATCAAATTTTAGAATTCTAAGAGACTTTAAAGTTCATATAGTTTTGAGTGACAATAACTTATCATGTTAGCTAGAGGCTCATGTAAATGTGTCATAAGAACTAACATTTACAGTAACTGCTCATGATTATAAAACCAGTGATCTGTTACAAAGATTTTCTTAACTTAAACATATTAATTGGTAAAGCTCAAAACAAAGAAGGAATTAGAAAGCTATGGGTAAGAATAAATATAGGGAGGAGAGAAATGGGTATTGGTAAGAAGTATATCATTTGGCCATTATGTTGAAACATGGAAAAGAAAATCCTTCTCCAAATTCTAAGCTTCAGATTATCTGACAACCAGACTAGAAATAGTATTAGTAGTTAGAAATTCTTTCCTTTCCATATTCTTTAAAAAAGGGATAATTTATCTTCTGAAACTTCTGCTAGCTATAGAGTTTATTTTAATTTTAGTGCCATCTCCAGATAACTGCCTGTCTAATCTATGGACAGCTAGTTCATTGAAATCCAAATTTTTATTTTAGCTTGACTTAGACTTAATTCTCTTTATACCCTATTTTCTGAAATCCATCCTGATATAAAGTTTTGTGTATATGTCCCTCTCTATTT